GGTAAGTTAATAGCAAGCCAACCTGTAAGCTAGGCCACAAGAAGTGACTGTGACTCTTGCAACTCCTGAAACTGTGATGGATCCACTGACGACCGTCTACAATTGTTTGTTCAACAGGGTCCCTTATTGTGGCAGCTGGTTAGCATGTCAACCAGAATAAACCCAATGGCTTTCTGCGACCCTGCCTGCATCTTTGTGCTGACAAGAACATGAAGCAGGTATGGAGATGTGAAAGCAAACAGCATGTCTTATTGTGTAAATAATTCCTGTTGTCTCTTAAATCCTGGTGACTGTGAAGTACAGTTCAGTGGTATTGTAGTAGTAGAGAATGTAGTAGTGGCCTCATCCCTTATCCTTTTGTTTTAGGTGGATATTATAAATAAGGAAGAATTAGATAAAGAAAGGTGAGTCTCTGATCCACATCTGTGGGATTCATCTAATTATGATCACTCACTCACTGTCGGTGTCCCACAGATCATCCCTCTCAGTCACTGGACCATTAAGGCACCTTTCCATAGCCATTATCACCATGTCTGTGGCTTTGAATTTTATGTTTTTTCTAACTAATACAGCTTTGTATCCAATCCATGCTGACTTTTGCTCTTGGCAGATTTCAAGTTCACTACGGAGTACACAGCCCAGGCAAAACAAAGCGATTGTCATCCGTCAAGAGGAAGGGTTGTCCAGTGGTGGAGGTGGGCTTAAAGCTGCACCGCAAAACATCAGATGTAGGCCGTGACCGTGTCCGCGGCATGGCCAACAAAGAAAATGAGCTGACGTGCTCCGATGATGTGCGGGGCATGCACTACAATGACAACTGCGGGCTCCCAGTGAACTCTGCAGAAGCCTCCAAGATGGCAGGGGCCAGCTCCAAGTACAGCGACTTTACTGAGGTGAGAGTCTGCTCTCTTGTGATTAAAAACTCTTGTTTCTTGGGATGATAACATTTGCCACACTGTTGCAGACTTCATTTCCTTTGTGCATTGTTTGTCTTTGCGTACAGCTATCAAAGGACCATGAAGCTATGACTCACGTCCTTTTCGGAAGGAATCTGCGACTGAAAGTAGCTCAAACACTATGGCGAAGAAACGCCAGTGAATTAGTGGCCTACCTAATAAGGTAAAACAGTGACGGCTAAAAGTGCATTTTAGTAGGTTGTGTTCATTCTTTAATTCCATAACATGATTCAGCTTTAATCATTTTTGCTTTCCCAGAATTCAAGACACGGGGGTGCTGCTTGACTGCTTACCTGTCTTAACAAACGAGTGAGTGTCCTCTTTTGAATTTTTGCTTTTTAATGATTCGGCTTCACCTGTAATGACTGGACCGCACAATACTACAAACCTGTATTAAACAAGATCATGTAGCATCATTACAGCAGAAAGAAATGCTTTTTATGGATTATTCAATTGTTTTTTAATGACTCTGTAAAGTGTTAGAAAGTACTGAAGAATGCGCACAGCATGGTTTTTCAGAGCAATGTCTTCAAAGTTCTTCTTTTGGCCGACTAACTGTTGAAAACCTAAATGTATTCAATTGATAACAATATCAAACAGAAAAAAAGCAGCAGCTCCTCCTTTTTTAGAAGCTGAAACCACAATAATTTGAAATAAGGTGTGTGTGTTAGGTGATGTTTAAGATTAGTGTGTTTCTATGAATCTATCATCTAGTGACCATCAGAGATAATGTTAGACTAAAGTCAACAATGAAGACAGTTTGAGCCATTTTTTATTTTATTTTCTAGATCAGCTCAGTTTATTTCTTTTGCCTTGTGTTCTCTTGTTTCAGCATTCAAACTGAAGCACCATGTTTGTCACTTGGCTGCTGCGTTGACCTCATGCCCCAAGTGAAAGTGATTCTTGCCAGTAAATATGAAGAGTGAGTGTCACATATACATTTATATACAGAAATTTCTCATCTTTGACTTTGTGATTTGACCAACTCATCTGCTTTTAACTTCTGTTCACAGACACATAACGGTGGGTTTACACTGGGTTCAATCCGTCATCAGGAAATGGTGGCCAGAACTTTCTAAGAATGAGAAGAGACTGCGGGACAGTCGTTCAGAAGACAGGTGGGCAGCACATGCTTGACTACAATCTAATAGACCTTTTTCACAACAGCCATTGTGACATGAAGCAGTAGGGTAATCACAGGTGTTACCAATGATTCTAATTAAGTCTCTGTTCCATTTAATGTATCAGAACCTTTACAGTGGGCCAACATGCATAATAGCAGCACCCTGACTCTGCTTGACCTGATTGTAGGGTTTCCCGCAGCACTTTACAGCTAAGGCGGTTGCCCTAGCAACACACGCCTGCCGCCTTGACTACGTCGTAAAAAGAAAAAAAAAACACGTGGTTGTCTTACAGCTATACGTTTGATGATTGCACGTGATTTTCTCTCGCATTGTACACAGCTAAATGGACAGAAAAATGCAACCAAAAATTGCGGGCTTCTTCGTGCGACGAAGCAGGCCTACCTCTCCAACCGCACCGCCACCAACTGAAAGTGTCACTAAATTTCTACCAGTTTAGTTTCATCGTCCAGGTTTTCTGTCTCATAATTTGACCCATGTGCACTAAACCTTTAAACAGACAAGGGGTTTCAGTCAGTTTCAGCAGAATGTTACTCTTTGAACATTGAAAAAGCTGATATCATAGTGGTGTAGTAATTGTCACAAAAGCTGACTCATACAGTAAGTAATATGATATTCAATAACTAAACATGAGTCTTACAGGTTTTTCTAGTTGGAGCTGGTTCACTGCTAATGAGTTTACCGTGTTGTTTTGAGTTTCTAAATAAATGTTTTCAAGAAGTTATATGAAAAGATGCTCATACACATTTCTGACTGCAGCTCTGAACTGAAAGTGGAGGGTTCTTACTCGGCACGGGAGAGCAAGTATGTTGGGGTTTTACAATCACCGACTGTGGTGGCGGTCCTGTGTGCAATCACCACATATTGAAATGGTAATATTAGTATGTTTATTGCAGGAATATTGAAGTCATGAAGCAGCGGCTGAAGGACTTGTGGAAGGAAGGAGCCCGGTTATGTGTGGTTCCAGGATCTACGGGAGAACTGGCAAAGGTAAGAAGGTTATTATAGAACTTATTAGGGATTTTTTTTTCATGACACAGTAGCTGTAGAAATGTCAGGACTGGGACAGTGAAAGAAAATGTTTAAAAAGTTGTTTGACAATCCTTGAAAATATGAATTATGGTATTTAAATTTCCTGTTTCTAGCTTTGTCTGCGTTACTTATTTTTAAGGCTTCATGACATGAAAAGTGCTTGTTGTATTTATAACTAAAGCACACCATGTTTTCTTCCTCTTATAGACCAAACTAAATTAAATAATAGAGTTGATTAAACACCCCATTGTGCCAAAAACATACATACATACAGGTGCTCCTTCTGTTGTTTTCCACCCTCTGTTGATTTTGGGTGGACACTGCCAACCACTCCCATCCTAAAAAAAAAACCTCCACGTCTGCCGTAAGAAGTATGTAGTATTTGTAATGTGAGTCTGTATTTGGGTTGTGGTTCATGG